GTTCCCCAGTTCTGTGTGCTACATACATTGCACTGAATAAGGAGCTGAGTTGGACTGAGGTTGTGGGGTAAAATCCATCTCAGGTCACCCCAAATGACATACCTCTGTGACCAGAGGACTCTCCTGAAGTCTGAGCAGGGTACTGCCTGACCTGAAGCTTCGTTTTCAAGTGGCTTGATGCTGCCTGATAGCTTCCGAGGCCTAAATGCTGTGTACTTTATGCTGAATAAAGAGCTGAGTTGGGTTGGAGTTGTGGGGCAAAGGGGAAGGGGGATTGGTGACCAGCAGAGGGAGTTGAAGATTGTCAAGAAAAAATAGGAAGGAAGGCTCCAAGGTTCTGATTCCTACCTCTAGCACTATTTATGCAATGCCTGGCTTCAATGCTTGCCGTAATTTCAGAGGGTTAAAGCATATCCTTCATTTCTGAGGTGAGTTCTCTAGGTGCCAGACTGTAGAGTTGATTGTATGGAGACTTTCCCTTGAAACCGGAACATAAAAATCTTGAGACCAGAAAACTGGACAAGAAGGAGCATGGCTATGGTTAGGACACTCAACTAGAAAGGGGGAATCCTAAATCATGGTCCCTGCTCCCAGGACATTAGGTAGTAATTTAATTAGACTGCTCTGTCTTGTTTCTGTTTCCCACTATAACTTAGGTGGGAGCTAGGTTAGCACAGGTTTAGATATTTCACACCTCAAAGATTTTCTGTCATGGGTGAAACTTTTTCAAGGGCCAGATAAGGAAGCTTTAGTGCTACAGAACAGATGGAAAGGGGCTGAGGATATGATGAGCTATCGGTGTTGAAAATATTACTATGTATGTGCACAGTCTTCTGAAAATGTTGGTAAGGAGAGGGAGGGTATAAGTTTTGATTCCCACCAAATTACAATGTCCTAAAAACCAAGGTCTGTTGTGTTTAAGGGTAACATTAATCTGTGTCTTAGGTTGAAATCATAGGAAATATCAAAGATTAGGGAGAAAAGAAAACACTGTTTTAAGAAATTGTATTTAGAATTGCCAAGCTGGTTTTATAAACAAAGAGAAGCAAGCCTTTTGGTTATATTTTTTTATTGGACCACCTGTCTAGTTTAGAGCAATATTGGATCAGCTTTGAGGCATGAAATACCCTTCCTCAGGTCACTTATTTATATTTATTCCTCATTTACTTATAAGCAAAAAAAAAGTTTGCTAGATGTGAATGCCCATCTAGATTCTGTCTTTTTTAATTGATGTTAATAAATATGTTCTTAACTCTGCAGTTGTTAGCTGTCTAAGTAGGTGAAGAATTTCTAATAAATGTAGCCAACTCTTTTAATTAGATGGTGCATTTTTCAATTTTGTTCACAGTGTGGGCCTAATCAAGTGCCCATTAAAAGTTGTTGGGCACCTGTCCATTGACTCTCCAGGGATTTGGAGGAAAATGTTCTAATGTAATATATAATGGAGGAAAGAGAATTTTAAACTTTTGGTCATGCTTTGCTCTGAAGCCAATGGAAAGTTACTGTTAAGACTACCTGAATATAACAATTAAAATAAGATCAAGGGCTGGAACCCAAGCAAAGTAACTCAGGACCAAGATTTAGGATTCATGGGCTATGGAAATGGAGCCAGATGGACGGTCAACTTTGAGCATGTTAATACATCAAAAGAGTTCAAAGATATGCCCAACTGTACCAGCCTATAGGACTACCCTGGTTATAACATGCCTGTTTCTGTAGGCAAGAGCACACACGGCAATGACTTCCCATCCTCAGTGACTGGATACTAACAGCAGGGTTGTCTCAGGGAAACCTTTGGCTTGAGTCCAGAATGAAGTTCACTCATGCACTTAGAGGTGTAGCAAGATGTCTTAACCATCCAACCACCAGAAAATACTTCAAGAGCAGGGGTTAGAATAGTACTTAGCTGGTGATTAAACTTGTGTATGTCCAGGATGTTATATAGTCAGTTATCGATCCTCTGGATCATGGTGTGCATGTGAGAGGTCTAGTCAGATGCCTGATGAATCTGTTTGTAGCTGATAAGCCCAATTCGAGAGTGATAGAACTTGTTACAAGTTTCACAGATCCGTATGTTGTCTGAGTTGGAGTCCAAATTTACAGCATACTGCCTTCTTTCTTGCTTTGCTTCCATCCTCTGGATCAAAGCCACTTCATGTTGAGCTGCATCCAGTGCTATATGTTCCCTCCAGACCAGACAGGATTCTGCATCCTCGTCCAAGCTTTCTACATTGATGCTGAATGACTTCACATCATTTTTCCACAGATTGTGGTGCTGCCATAGAGGGTGACACCGCTTTGAAACACAAAATATTGAATATTGAATACAAAATATTCTTGGGAATACAGTTTCCTCACTTTCTCCTTACATGGCTGATCCATCACAACCTTCTCTTCTTGATAGTGGTTTCTAAGTGTCGGTCGTGTGCTCTAGTACTTCTGTGTTTGCTATTCTGTCTTCACATTTTATTTTCAGGATCTTACTCAGATATCTCATGTGGAAGCTGTTCAGTCTCTTGATGTGCCTAGCATATGTAGGCCATGTTTCTGAACCATAAAGCAGGTATGACTACAGGTGCTTCTGGTGAACTGAGACTGGTTGGGCAGGTGGAGTGTCACATGGTGGGGGTGTTTGCAGCCAGCTGGGAGCAGAGGGAGTGCTCCCAGCTGGAGTGCCCAGCCTGCTGCAACCCCTTCCCTGCCCCCTCGCCCCCCCCCACACATACACTCCTAGCCAGCTGCAATCCCTACCCTGTTTCTGGTCAGATCAAGATTCCTGCTGATTGTACAAACCAAGTAGGAAAAACTGTCAATGACACCAAGAGATTTATCCTGCAGAGTGATGCCAGGTATTGCTTCTTCCACCCTCTGGTATGTGATCACAGTCTTCTTGAAACTAATTGTCAACCCAAAGTTTTTGCATGATTAATTGACAAGATAAAACACCTAAGCAAACTTGCATTTTGGTGCCTTCCTCCTAGCTCCCGTAAAGCAGTGGTGCATCTGTAGGCAGAGGCAGGGACATGGGGCACAGCCTAATGGGGAGGCAAAGTGGCATGGTGCCCTGGGCTGGCAGGCAGATAGACACTACTGCTGCTGTGTGGGAGCAAGGTGAGCGGACTGGAGCAGGTGGCCACCCCGCATCTTCTGAGCAGTGGCTGGAGGCAGTTGGAGGGCTGGGCTGGGCACTGCTCTTGCTGCCTGGGAATCAGCTGGGGCAGGGCAGGGGAAGAGTACTGCTATGAGTGTGGGCTGCTCACATGTGTATGTGTGTGTGTTTGGTGCACCCCATACCCATGTTGACCACCCCTAAGACTGGCTCTGTCCATAAACTGTTGTTTATGTTGCAGAACTTACGTATAAGCACTGTTGGGATTCAGCTTTTTATGCTAGGCGCTCTCAGATCTCAGAGTGACAGTCTCTGCCCCTAGAAACTTACAATCGAAGGGCATGTCCCCATGAATGGGAACATGCATTTTCCAAGGGACCAATAGCAGCAGCACATAGTTGTGCCACTGCTAGTTGTCCCCAGGCATGACCCTGCACATGCGCTTTGGCTCACGGCAGATTGCCCTGGATGGGCCCCACCAGCCTTACCTGGTGTCCTGGGGGCCTCCCAGGGCTGCAGTGGTGGTGATCTGGGCGTGCAGAGGCCGGCCAGCAGCTGGAGTGTGGCTCTGGCTGTCCAGGTTCCAGTTTCGGGTGGCACACACTGCAGCCACGTGCATCGTCCTGTTATTTTTTTGCTGCATTTTTTTAGATACTGGGAGTTCCTGTTATCTAATTTTGCCCCCAGCTGCAAATATGCAGTGCGGAGAATCCTTTCATGTGTGCCACATGCATTTTGCAGTACCTCAGAAGCCTTTGAAGTGCCACAAAATGCACATACTTGCTCATCTGGATGTGCCTCATTTTGCATTCATTAGGTCAGGCAGTTAGGTATGCAAAAGCAGTTTGTGTTTACAAATCCAGGGCCCTTTTGCACCATGTATCATTACAGGGGAGCATGCTGCTATCATCAATTTAAACACAGTGAAAATCATAGAAGGCTTTGCCTTAGTTGATCTTTACCGTCTCCCGTCAGTCTGGAGATTTGTTGCCTGATGTTTCACAGTGTTACTCCAGTTCTACAGTTGCTGTTGGGACTCCATGATTGTGTTTGTCCAATTGTAAAATGAAAACAATGGAGTGCCAAATCAGCATTTTTTCTATGAGCAGTCATAGAACTCATTGTAGACCAGCATCTCTCAAACCATGGGTCGTGACCCAAAATTGGGTCTCAAGAATTTAGGAAAGGGGCATGGACAAACTTTAAAAATAGATCAACAAACTTTAAAAATGGATTCTCTAAAGGAGAAAAAAGTGGAAAACTGTGGCTTTTCCCTTGCAGGCTGGCAGAGTTCCAGCCTGCAAAGAGCTGCTTGGGGCCTCCCATGCCTCATACACACCCTCCCCTGCCATACGCATACACATCCCTACCCCACCCACTGGGGCCTGGGAGCAGGGGGCAACAGGTTGGGAGTGGGAGGCACTAGGACGGGTCTGGCTGTCAATGTTTACAAATGGGTCCTGGTGCAGAAAAGGTTGAGAACCACTGCTATAGACAACTTCACTTTCCCTGTGTTAGATCTATGTTAGTATATCTTATGTTAAACTTTTGTTCCAGCCTGTGGGGCCATGTCATCCAGCCTGTGGCATTCCATGTGGGTCAAGCATTCAGGACTGGCCCACTGCCGGGTCTGACTTGGTCTGTGGTGGGGTCAGTCTGATCTGTGCATGTTGCATGCTGGATCTGGATTTGAAACTATGCACCTGCCAGCAGTATGTGAGCTTATGACCTTGATTATTATTGTGATGAACTGTTTTCAGAGATTTTTTTCTGATGTAAATATACCTGTTTAGAGAGAGTGTTTTAAATGCATGCTGTTGAGTGAAGGTGAATTTTTGGCAATCTGTTTTGAGCTACTTCTAATTGAGTTTCAAAAAGTGACTGTTTTTTATGTTCATTCTCTCTCCCTATAGGAATGCTCTCCCTATGCTGCTCACTTATATGATGCTGAGGATCCTTCCACTCCTATGAGGACAATAGCAGGGCTCTGTCAAGACTATTGTGTGGAGGTGTGGCAAAAATGCAGGTCCATGTTTCGTTACCTCTCTACAGATAAACAGCTAGCAGCACTGGAAAACAACATGGCAAAATTTTGCCACTATTTGTCCCTTGATGATGTAGACTACTGTTTCCCCCGCCTGTTAACAAATGCAAATCTCAATCATAACCTTGGGTTAGTGACAGCCGACTCGGAGGGCTGTCTCCAGTTGTGCCTAATGGAGGTAGCTAATGGTCTGCGGAATCCTGTTGCTATGGTGCACGCTAACGATGGCACTCACAGATTCTTCATTGCTGAACAAGTTGGCTTAGTTTGGACCTACCTTCCTGATCGGTCAAGGCTTGAAAAGCCATTTCTAAACATCAGTGAAGCTGTACTTACATCGCCCTGGGAAGGAGATGAGAGAGGTTTTCTAGGTATTGTCTTCCATCCCAAATTCAAATTTAACGGTAAAGTGTATGTCTACTATTCAATAGAAGTTGACTATGAAGAAAGAATCCGGATCAGCGAGTTCAGAATTTCTTCTGATGACATGAATACTTTGGACCATGGTTCTGAAAGGTATTGTATGCACATTTATCTTTCATATTCATTTAAAAGTTTGGAAGACAACACATGCATTTTTTTTACTACTAATTATAGTAGATTATATTTATTTGGCTTCAATTAGTCCAACTTCTTTTTATTATAACATTTAACTTTAGATTTTTAATGTACAAAAATCAGAAAATTCAAAAGTCTGTTTCGCAGAGTAACTGTAGCTCTTCTATAGCTTGGTACATATATGAGCAATATAGAAGACATGGGTGTTACATGAATTGGACTCACTCTAGAATAATATAGTTGAATTTCCTGATTTTGTTACAATTTTTCACTAAATTCACCTTAAAAATTAGGTATTTAATTTCCTTGCATTGTATGTTTCCTAGTTTTTGTTATTGTTTTGGGTTTTTTGAGGAAATTTTTCATCACACATTCAAATATAATTCTCCACTGTGTGGTTTGAATGTATTTGTATTGAAAAGTCATTCAAGTCAGCATGAATGAAGTCAAAGCTATTACAGCAAAGATGATTTTGGGCCCAGTGTACTTAACTGAATTATGACATTCCTTTTGATGTTATCCACTTATTTGTTTTAATGAACATGCTTTCAAAATGTATGTATGTCATTTTTGAAAACATGCTGATTAAAATAAATAAGCTCTGTTTCTTTGAATTATCCCATGCTCTTGGGATAATATTCCATATTCTAATCATACTCGTAGGAGTAATAATCTACAGCTCAGTATGCTTAAAACAACTAGGAAATAACTTTTATTATTTTAACATATAACTGTTTTGCCAACCAGGTCTGAAAATTTCTCTACTTACTGCTTATGCTTATCTAAAAAAAACTATTTCTCTTTCTCTACCTACAATTACATAAATATTGATCTAAAAGAACTTTCTCCTCTGGTACTACCCTCATATAGATTGCCCATTTGGGATTTACCTGTTTTGGCTAACCATCTCTCTCCAGATGTTGTCCTAGGGCATGTGTAGGTGAAACAGGGGCCCTAAATTGAAGCAGTGGGTTTTAAAAAACACCACTTCAATTTAGGGTCAATTAAACCCCGTGTTGTGCACACACTCCGCTGACTTACCTGCTTCTTGAGCGGGGAGGGGAGGGTGAGCTGCTGGCGGAGCGGTCCCTAGGCTGCAGGGGGGGCTGGTGCTTCCCTCCCAGCAGCAGCCCCCCCAGGTGGCACCCACCCACAGGCACCTGGTTTGGGCGGTTGCAAGGAGCACTGCAGCCGCAGAGTGAAGTACTGGGCCCCTGCGCAGCGCAGGCAGGCAGGCTCTGAGGGGGTGGGAAGGTCAGGTTCATCGCTTTTCTTGAACAGAGCCTGCTTTCCTGGGCTGCTGCCAGGCTGCCTGCACGGGCTTCCTGCAGAGCCGGATGGAGCCCGTCGCCAAGGTGTGCAAACACCGACATCATTAAAGCAGTGCAAAGGCATTTAGCCCACTGTAAAGTGTTGTGCGCACACGCCCATCATTTCATTTACACATGGCCCTAATTTCAATTTTCTCCCTTCTTTCTGCCTTTCAGTTCCTTTCTCTGTGCTTATAATTATGTATATGTATTATCTGCTTTTATATGTGACTGTGGTAAGCACAGAAGTAAGAAGGATGATTAGGGCTTAAGTACTGGGAAACCTATGTTTTTCTGCCTGCTGTGTCTCAGACTATCTCTAGCAAGTCACTCAGGATCTCTGTCGTTCAGTGTGCCAGCTGGAAAATTCCAGGAATGTTGTGGGGATAAATACATTAAAGAGTGTGAGGTTCTCAGGTACTACAGTAATAGGGAAAACAAAACAAGTACCCAAGCTACATGGATAAGAATAATTTATTTCTGTACAACATCCTGCTATACATTTGTATGAGACATTATGTCAGATTTCATTGGTTATTATATGTGCTAAACAAATATGCCTGGGGTTATGAAACTGTGGAGTCCTAACAGAACTCATTAAAAAGAATGTATTTTGCACTTAATAACCGTAAGTGCTTTTGTACTTGCGGTTAGTAAATAATACAAAAACATTCATATTACAACGAATTGGCTCTTCCTCCTAGTTCTATAATGGGGCACCATTAATTATAATGTAAAAGGTTTGGCTTCATAAATATTGGTGTATCATTAGATTATACGGTGAATTAAGAGACAGACCAAACCTTTAAGTGAAGCATTTGGAAACAGAGCTTTTTCTTGTATTTAACAATGTTTATGGTTCTGAGTTTGACTAATCTGATCCTGCTGTTGATACACACCTAAAATGGACAAATACTTGGAATTCTGCACGAGAGAGAGAGAGAGAGTGCAGAACTGGTTTGTAAATCTTATTTCCACACAGTTGTGATTTTTATGATAGCAATGAGTTGTGCATTTATTTTAAGATTTTTATGGTAGCATTCGTGATGTGCCAGGTACTTTCAAACACTGAGGGATGGATGAGTTTTGCTCCAAAGAGTTCACAGTCTATCGAAAGGCAGTGGTCAGGATAAGAGGAACAGCTTAAATAAAAGTCAGATTAGTTTACTGTAAGCAACACAGAAGCAGTGAATCTTTAAAATAAATTTAAATTTGTACAGTAGATATTGGAAAATGGACAAACGACTCAAGCCTGTGAACATGTACTCTTATGTGCTGTCATGTTAAGGACCCATCTGGCTCTAAGCTTGTAACATCCCATCCTTCTGTTACAGCCTAAAGAATGAAACTATGGTCTTGTTATTGGTATGACTCCCATTGACTTCACTGAAGTAGGTGAATCACAGTCCTGTAATCTTGTGCAGAGCTACCTGAGTTTTCTTTAGCATTAAGCATGAGAATACTATATAGTCTGTTTTTGTTCCATAACTACGACTGAAGTCATTTTGTCTTGACCTACTTTGATTTTTTTTTGCTCTGGGAGAGGTGAATGGAATTCAGTTTTCTGTTGAAAACATCGTCTTTCTTCATTTCTATAGTTGATGTACTGCTGAAGCACTGCTCTGTGCCAAAGATGAAGTTCAGTAGTGGGTAATGTGATCTCTAGACAGTTAATTTGGCTGTTTACTATGTTCTTTAGGACATTTCAGGAGTGGGAGGGCGCTCTAAATGTTGTTCTTTAATGAAATACGTTTACGAATGTAAAGAGATGCTGTAAACCTGAAAATTGAATTGGCCTTAAAAGCAAAGGTAAAAATAAGCAGATATTTATACCTGTGTATTACTGCCAAGTTTTATGGCTTTGCAATCACATCTTTCTATTTTTTACTTTTTTTACTACCCGGAATTGAATGCCAAATGCTTTAAGTAAACAGACAGAAAACAAGAGATACTTTTTTTTTCTTTCAAATTCCTTTCAACTGTTAGATGTTGTTATGAACAATAGTCACTGTAATACGTTTTGGAGGAGTATTGCTCCCGCTCTACGTGGCGCTGGTCAGGCCGCAGCTGGAGTGCTGTGTCCAGTTCTGGGCACCGCACTTCAGGAGGGACGTGGGGAACCTGGAGAGGGTCCAGAGGAGGGCCACTCATATGGTTGGGGGCCTCCATGGCCAGCCCTATGAGGAGAGGCTGAGGGACCTCCGCAAGAGGAGACTGAGAGGGGATCTTGTGGCTGCCTACAACTTT